TATATAGGATTGTATACCATTTATTATTATTTATAAGAAGACATATTCTAGCAACCACACTCGTATGATATAAGGTGGATCATTGACTACATTATGAAAATCARATAAAAAGTTAAACARATCTGTTTGCAAGTTCATTATTACGAATAATTTCCACAAAAGATCAGACTAATGAYGTATATAAACAGTATTTGAATTCTTGATGTAGATGCTATATAGTTGGTTCTCATCCTTCGGATACTACTAGTGTACTGGACAACAATTTCAAGTTCTCACCCAATTCCCAAGCTATAAGAAATGTGYGTGCGAGTCGATTGCATTTAGTGTGTGYGTTTGACTGAACACGTTGGATTGTCGGTCAATTCTCACCACATASCGACCATTGTAGTCACCATCAACTACTTACCGTTGAGACCACCATCGCATATCCAAGCCACCGGCCAGCACCGGATATCCATGGTCAAACTACCAAAAGATAGAGCACGTTGACARATTTAATCAATGGATTAATTCGTCAGTAATTTCCAAGTGCTTTCCRACGAATACGCGACCAATTTGATATTCGAGACTTTGTGGCAAAATAGTGACGGATTACTGATGTATTATATTTCGCAGATAATCCGTCACTAATTGTTGACAGTTCACTGACGCTTATGATTCTCATCAGTGATTTGTCAATAATTCTATACCATCAGTTATTTTAATTTTAATTTTTAAGGTTTGTTACCATCAGTAAATTATAACCATTACCGACGGACTATYGGCAAACTTATAATTTGTCGCAAAAATCAATGGCTAAGGGGCTGTTTGGCAATTGCTGAATGGTTTGGTGCAGAATGATTAAGTGGTCAGAATGATTAAGAGGCTCTCATGATATAGTGCAAAATGAAATATAATTGTTTGGTAATTGTGTACAATGAAATTAGGGATCTTAATGGTTAAGGGAGATCCAGGATACAAAATCATTCAGAAGATTTTAGAATCATTAAGAGGCAGACTTTTTTTTTTTGCCAAACAATATTCACCTCTTAACGATTCAGAGGTTGCCTCTTAATGGAACTATTAAGAGGTAAACAAACAACCCCTAAATAGTATTTTTTTTTAATAGGAATATCTACAACATAACTACAAGTTGAGTTACCCGTAGCTAATGGTCACTCTGAAATCCATCACGGTCGATCACTAGTTGATATGCCGAAAAAGATTTATTTTTCAAAGTCTAAAATTAAATTAATGACGGATTACCGATGGAATTTTCCGTTGATTATGTTTTCTTCCGTCTTGAATTTTGTTTAAAATTGTTGACAAACATATCCGTCAATAACATTCATTAACGAAGGATCACCGATGACGAAAATTTCAATTGGATATATATCTACATAAAAAAATCAAAATTTAAGAAACGGTTTTTTTATTCCATTCATAAATCAAATCCTTACAAGTTATAACCCAAAACACTACTAAAAAATTGGGTTTTTCTAACGGTAAATTCGCAAGAAATTGAGTTTTTAAAGAGAAAAAAGTTATATATATATATATATATATATATATGACATTTTCCGACAGATTTCTGACGGATCTAACGAAAAATGTTATATAATATTTACCCTAGAAAATGGTTTTTAAAGAAAAAAAAATCAACAATTTTAGACGAATTTGACGGATTTTTTTATCTAGAAAATGGTTTTTAAGAAAAAAAAACATTTTTAATAATTTTAAACACGTCGAATATTGTTAATTAATTAACATCAATTAATTTTTCTAAAAAAATCAGACTAATTTGTGGCGGATTTGTGATGGAATCCATTAAATAATAAGAAAATAAATTATCCGTCGAAAATCCATCAGAAATTTAATTAAAATAATATATATTTTTTAAATCAGTGGGGGATTTGTGGCGTTTTGTTGATTTTTTGATTTTTTTTTGGAATCTGTTGGTAATTTTCCAACAAAAATCCGTCAGAAAAATCTGTCGATGAACCCAATTTTTTTAGTAATAAAAGGCATAAAAAATATACATTACCAAAAAATACCACTACTCGAAAACAAGTTTTTTGAAAATTTCTATTTCAAATCGTGTTTCTAAAAAAAAGTAGTATATACCACTATCATATACAGGGGTTTTACCAATGGATCGATCCGTCGGAAAAAATATCACCGACGAATCTCACGACCACGAGAATTGAAAAAATGGCATTCCTGATTGTAGCGAAAGTTAATATGGGCTGTTGCTTCCACTGATAATTCACATTTACTCTTTTCTAGTCATGTTACATCCTCTTTTCCTTTATCAATGAATTTTGGATTGAGTCGGGAATCCAATTTTGGATTCGGTATGGATCAATTTAATTTTCGACGACGAATTAATTAATAGCTTAGATATTATTATTCATGATATTGATCCGATTCAAGATCATCGGTAGAGAATGCATTCATTGAATTGACAGATGAAAGATTTATCATCTCTATGGGATTAATTCCCGAGTTATTGTTAAAAAAACGATGAGATTATGGAAGTAAATATTCTTGCATTTATTTTTACTGCACTCTTCATTTTAGTTCTTACTGCTTTTCTGCTTATGATTAATTACTGTAAATGAAACTTCACTTCTGGTTTCTGAATAATAGTTGAAGAAATCAAATGAAAAGGATTTTATTTTTGCGTCTTAAATGAAATCAACGGGTTATAATAAGCAATATTCTATGAAATCCGAGACAAATACCATCACAATGATATTATGGTAGCAAAAGCAGTAATATGCCCCTGGAATAATTGTCACTTTCTTTGATAATGAGTATTGAACAATAACTACAAAATAACAAAAGATCTGAAATTTGATTAAGGTATACAATATCAATATTATATATATATATATATATATATATATATATATGTGTGGGGAGGTTCAAACGAGAACCCCTGTGATTTACGAGAATGCGAGAACAACCCAATAACCTCAAACTTTTTTAATTAATAAATTAACTTTTATTATATATAAATAATTTAATAAGGACAATAATGTAATTAAGTAATTTTTATAATTTTTATTTTATTTTAATTAACCATAATTATTTTTTCACGTTCCACGTTTTACTCTTGGTAGTTAT